TCTAATTTGACTGTTGAATCAGGTTGTTTTAATGCCATATTGGATGGAAACCTGGATCTGATGGTGATTTGGTGGTTGCAGGGTTGAAGGGGTTGAAGGGTGTCTCGCTCGGTGTCCGATTACGTTAGTATTCAGGGTCGCCCGTTCAGTCTTCGCTTTCTGCAGACTGGCATTAGGCCACTTTCTGAACTGGCCGTGCGAAATGCTTTCTCTCATCCGAAAATTCTCAAAATCGTGTTATGGCCAGCTGGGAACGTCTCTATCGATAACTTGTCGAGGTAAGAAAGGAGGTCTGTTTTGAAGATAGTCTCTGAAGATTCAAGCAGGCATGCCGATCTCGCGTGAGGATCTTTTCGCTTACACCAATGGCCATTTTCTCATCGACGAAGAACATCAACTTAGCCGACGATATGTCCGGTTCGACTTGGACGCGCTTTGCGGTACAGCTGCCATGGCTGGAGGAGATTCCAGCCGCGTGGCGGCTATTGACAAAATGGAAGGGCGGTTCAGCAAGGCTTTTCTGATGAAGAGGACAGATGGAACGGATGTCATAGCCAAAATCCCATGCCGCATTGCTGGCCCGCCCTCATTAACAACAGCTGGTGAAGTGGGAGTTCTAGAATATGGTATGTGGTGTCTATCGTACGGAAACTCGGTCCACTAAAATTATACAACCCAGTTAGGAGACACACTAGCATTCCTGTGCCTCGTGTTCTTTCTTGGTCATCTGATGGCTCAAATGCCGTGGGGGCCGAATATATCATCATGGGGAAAGCCGCCGGGGTCCCTCTGTTTCAAGTCTGGGGCAATATGACGGAATTCGAAAAATTGCACTTGATCAAGAATTTGACCAAGCTTGAGGCTCAGTTGGCGACCATTAAGTTTCCCGCCTACGGAGGTCTGTACCTTCGGACCGATATGAACAGGTCAAACCGGTCACTCGCTAGTGATATCGATCCATCCCAGCCTTTTTGCATTGGACCTTCTTGCGACCGGGCATTCAAAACCGATATGACGCTGGAATTTGATCAAGGGCCTTGTGCGTTACCAGCCCCATCTGATGCTTCGCATACTGAACTTTACATAGGGGATTCAATTTCAGGCTTTGGAATATCCATTGCACAGCGAGAATTGTTTCGAATATCGAGAGAAGGACAACAAAATCAGTCGATTTATTGCAAAGGAACTTTTGATCAACAAAGCCAGCTCTTGGGAGTCACTATGGGTCTCATGAAGCTCTTGGACTCGAATGACTTATTGAGGAAAGCTTGTCAGCCTACATTGTGGCACACCGATCTTCATATGGGAAATATTTTTGTCGACCCAGACGAGTTTTCAAAAATCCTTTCCCTCATTGATTTCCAGTCAACGTCTGTGCTTCCCGCGTTTCTCCAGGCCCAGTGGCCCATATTTCTCAGGCCTCCGCAGAATTACGATTACGTGAAGGGAATTTTCCAACCAAAGCTGCCTGACGACTTTGACAAACTCGATGAAGAGAGCAGATTTATTGCTTTGTGTGAATGGTCCCAGGTAAAATTGGCGAAGGCTTATGAGGTGTCAACCTATCTTGAAGACAGGGCAGCGCATGATGCTATGAGCGTACCTCGTGTCTTCCGAGAACTGTTTATCCGATGCGGAGAAGTTTCTGAAGTGGGCATCGTTCCGCTTCGTGCGTGCTTGATAGAAATATTTCAGAATTGGTCAAGCCTTGGATTCTCTAGGAACTGCCCTTATTCATTCAGCCAAGCAGAAATTGAAGAGCATGAACGCCAGTTCGCTGAATACCAGGCTTGGTATGAGGTTCGAGCGCTTGCTGAAGAGTGTCTTGGTACTGATGCAGAAGGGTGGATTGCGCCGCAATTGGACATCAACGAGAAGAGAAGGCAGAACGAGGAGCTTATGGCCCTGTATATTGAAAAGGTCGCCGGAGAGAGATCCGCGAAGGAGGCGAAGGCGATGTGGCCTTTCTTTCCTTGAATGTGATCGGTATTACAACCCGCCTCTGTGCACAGAAGGAAGTGATTTCCGCGCTGGTGTTGCTTCATGCAGCATGCCTCATCCTCGGTCCCTGAGGACACTTGTACTTCCCTTGGCCTGAGAGAGTGCTATTCTTCCGTTTCTTTCGTATATTGGAGAGACTGAACTTACCAGTTCGTTGCCATCGCTACTGTGGCAGTCTTTTTTCTCATTCCCAAAACTCGGGGTACCAGCCTGACAGATTCTAGTCGATAAGGGTGACTTTCAAGTCGCTGCTTCCGTCCTCTCGGAATCCATTCCGTTCAACCATGATGTTCTTTGGTTGAAGATCTCCATGGGTGAAAACAATGCTGTGGCCTTTGAGAGTGCGGTTGACCATTTCTCGCAACAAACGAATATAATGCGGTGATTGCTGGTCGGTTCGGGTGGCTGCCCGTCTGAAGAACGGTGTGCTGTGGGGAGTGGCTGATGGATCCGGTGTTGGCCAACTCTGTGAGATTGACCGAACCATTCCAGAAAAGAGAAGAACAAGACCTTTACAAGGCCTTTCACTGTGGGTCTACATTCTACTAAGGCTTCTCTGTCTCTTCGAAGACTGTGCATGTCGTCAAGTCCGGAAATGAGTGAGTTTTGGACACTTATAGATCACCAAAGCTTATCGAAACACCAGGAAAAGGGTTTGAGAGCGAGCAATCCAGAGCTCTCGGCGACGTCGCTTCCCTGGCCAGAGCACAGACTGATCGATGCCTTCTCTGAAGGCAACTTGTCACGGACCATTTTCAAAAACTGAAGATAGCTGTTGCCGTCACCCGGATCACCAGCTGGAATTCCGGGAAGATCAGGAGCACCCGGATACTCCCAGTCAAAATCCAGACCATCGAGATTGTTGTCGATTGCAAATTGCGCAACATTCCTTGCAAAGGTCTCACGCTCAGCATCTGTCACTCCCTTCCGGAAGATTGCGAATGTATCTAGCGATGTCGAGAATGACCAACGGATAGAACCCTCGGTTTCGATCTGTTTTGTAGAATCGAAACACAGAGTTGGGAGGTCCCAGAAGGGACGATGGGGGAAATGAACCTGCAGGACAGACACCGGAAAACGAGTGAAAAGGGTGTACAAAAGAAAGGTTCACTTGGCGATATCCTTGCGATGAGCGGAGCTACAGTAGAAATTTATGTCACTCTTGCTATAGATGGGGATGTCTTTGAGGAGGAAATTAGACGTGAGGATTCTTCATCAACACAAGATTTTTGGGCGATACAAAACATACCACGTGGTTGAAAACATCAATCACACACCAGAATTATTCATGTCTATAAGCAAGTAAGATCTTCCCCAGAGCCTACAATCTGGTAAGACTGTGACTGGATCCTGGGGCAGACACTAAGACCTCTTGATATAAATTTAGAAGTATTAGGGAATGGACCAAAGGTCAAACTCCTTAAGAAGAATGCTACCTCCATCAGTCCTTAGTTGCTCATAAGTGTATTCAGACCTTCTAAGCAGCAGAAGGTCGCATTGCATTCGGCAATATTCTTCGAAAGGATTACGATCCAGCGCACATGAAACCGAAGAAGTTGGATCCAGAAAAAGTCTAGACGGAGGGCTTCATTCCAGGGAATGATTGAGAGTTCCTAACTGCGACCTTAAGGTGGCAGAGCGAGCAATCAAGGCAAATAGAAAGGTGCAGGGAGATTGGTGTATATAAAAGTCATGAAAGCTGTGGAAGAGGAGATCTAGTCACTGAGTGTCAGTTCCAGCGCCTGACTATTTGGAAGCTCTTCCGGCCTCCAACGCCTTGTACAATTCCTCCATATAAATAAGTGATCCTCACTCCTTCCATATCTTATGATCAAGCCCAATGGCATCCCTCGCAAACACAGCAAATTCTATACTGATGAGCTCTGCCCACATGCCATCATAAGCACCTTCATTGGTGGTCAATCGAACCGGGTCATCTCTTTTAAACCAGTTCTTGAAAGAATTATTGCCTGGATCTTTGGGGACCTGTGAGCTCCACTATTTAGCCCGGAAGGCATTATGGTAAATCCCATGAACCACATAGTGGAACTTATATTTGATCCTTTCTGGTTGTTACGTTACAAACATATAGCGATCGATATCGCCAAGGAAGTGGGGAGCATGGCCCTTTAAGTGCGGGGCAGCTAAATTTGGTGGGGATTAGGGATGTAGCCTTCAAAGTTAATTAGAACTTAGCAAATATGAGTTTGAGCAGTGGAGAATAAGTTTAGGCTGGCGAGAGAGTTCGTTCCAGTTTCCAACACAGTGTGTCCAACGCAGCCGGTCCGTGGAAATAACCGCCACCACCGCTGAGAACAAAGACATCCTCAATCGCCCTTCTGCCAAGACAAACACAAAGCCAATCATATTAAATTCCTATTGATGACCTTTCATGGCTAGTTCAAGCTCCAGAGATTCCTTCTATTGTCTCTTATGCTTCTCTTCTTGTGTAGTGGTTAGATCACCTGGGATATAGATATATTGTGCCCAATGCCAGGGCCCTCGCAATATCACTGCATCGTTTCATCTAAGATGCTTCATGCGGATTATCCAAATGCCTCTGAGAAACCATCGAGATTCTCCTCCCAGCGACGATGATGACAGGGAGGCACTGATACATGAAAAGCGATCCCAACTCCTAAATGAAGCAGTCCCATTCGGTGCCAGAGAGCATCAACGGCTCCGGAAAATCATCGCCATTCAATATATCCTAATAGTCTCGCTTTTCTTCTTCGCAGTCGGAGCTGGGATTACAGTCTGGACGGATCCAGGATCAGAAATACCTGATCTGGTTTACTGTAAGCCACTTATCACTCTGCAAGTTTACAACTAACGAGCCCTAGCTCCCGCTCAAGACGTCATCAGATACAAGAACGTCGTCTTCAACTCCGGCTGGGGAGACCAAAAGTCCGTCTACATGGGTCCGCCGTCGAAAGAGAACAATAAAGCGTGGGGTGATCTCCATGTTGGTATGTCCTTTCTCCCGATGCGCTGCTAGGCTGTCGGCTGAGTGTTCAGTGCCCGCGATGATCAAGATTCCTGCGAGCGATGCAGCGAAATTGGTTAACAAGACTGTCCCGATTCCTGAGGATCCGGGATACTATCTGATTGGACTCGATGTTTTCCATCAGTTGCACTGTTTGGTAGTTCTCCTTTGTTGAGCTGGTGAATCAGTCTGACGTGCGCAGGATATGCTCCGCAAAGTACTCTGGGGTGTTGATATGCACCACGTGGATGAAAAGCAGGCTATGCATCACCTTGACCACTGTATCGACATGATTCGTCAGAGTCTGATGTGTTCGGCCGATATCACTGTCGATGTGTGGGCATGGAGTGAAGAAAGACAGAGGGTCACGGTGCAGGCGGATAACATGCACACTTGTCGGGATTTTGAGGCCATTCGACAGTGGGCGCTTGAGAGACAGGCAGGAGACTTTGATCGGACGGTACATGTGGTGGATTCTTGACTGTGAGACCGGCTTCGTTCAAGCATCGTCTGGTGACGGACACTTGTCCATTGATGCACCTCTATAATACGGTATTTGAGTCTAATTCATGGTGTGATGGTCCAGTCTTGTCCAGCTCGTACACCGGCCTTGCGGCAGACCCCGAGATGAAACGCGGACCAACTCTTGCGGCAAGCATACTGGATGAATCTTCGTAGCCGCTGTGGCTTTGTTTGATTGTGGCAGGCCTTCTCCGTGTAACTCGAACCCGCAGAAAGCAGAGTGCAACAGCCGTGACAACCAGCACAAGTCCTGCAGTCGCAAAAACACCAATCATCGCAGCAGGGCCGACGCCTAAACCCGAGGACGACGACTCTGTCGCAGAGCTGGACCCAATACTAGAACTACTTCCAGTCTCTGCCAGCGTAGCTTGTACCACATACGTGGGGGTCCCCGAAGCCAGAAGAAACTGTACTGTCACGAGCTTCGAGGGCGCAGGACCGGGATAGACCTCGTCCGAGGGATCGGAGCAGTTGACAGCCCCTGTAGATGTATTCTCGCAGCAGGCCCATGATCCTTTGTCCGTGTAGGTGATGAAGGCGCTATTACGGCCGCCTTGGACATCGCTTAGCTGGGTCACTCGTACTTTGTAGGACACTCACCGCATCGTGGCACACAGGCTGGATCGGTCAGTGTCTGATCAGTGCAATCGGCCGTATAGTAGAAGCTTTCGTTCTTGCTGTTGGTGCCGAGGCAGATGGAGTTGCTGAGACAGTAGTCTCCACTAACACAGCAAGGGACATGTGGATGTATGGAATTAGTCATGCCGCAGGGCTGGTCGGCGGGGATATTTTAGATGATGCCTTTGTGCATTCCATGGCAGACTAGCGAGGACATGGCTTTAAGGTTGTTGATTTTTCTTGGGCTAATAAGAGACAACAGAAGACACTTTCTGGGAGTTCTGGAGTTAAGTAGGGTTGACACCTCATATGGACAACAGTTTCTGAATGCCTGTTCTTATCGCGCTATTGAAGCCAATGAAATGACCATCCTACCCCCTGGACTATACTCCGCACCAACATTCTTTTTGGTCCAGGCAGCTAATGAAAAGCATTTCTAATCTCAAAAATTGTCCTGCTCCTGGATCAACTGTTCGAAACCCTCCCGGATTCCTTGTATCTTCCTACCATGGAGAGTAGTCGCCGTCACTATCATGGACTTGCGGGTGGGGCATCATCATGGCGAAGGTGTAAATGTATAAAATCATAGGCATGTCCTGGCAGGATTAAGCACTATCGACTCCGTAGTAAAAGGCCAAAAAGCCAAAGAGGACAAGCGTTACTTCTACCTCGTCCAACCCATACTTTCATCGACCGTGAGTGGCTCATCCACAACCGACCCAGGCATTAGTGCTTACGAGAGATGAATCCCCAGGGCTTTCTCTCCAAGACCACTAAATTATCTGAGGACTGCTCATCCCATAGGTGGAGTGGGGTACATAGCGTCAATGCTCAGCCTCATGATGGCTGTGCTCATTAGCCTGGGCCATCATCAGGCTACAACATTGCCATCCATAAGATGATATCAATCGTCGTCCGACTCTCAGATATACAATATCATACTCTGCTGTTGAGTCGATCTGCTCCAGACAAGCGATCAATATGAATCCACCAAAACCTTCTGAAGAGGCAGCACCTGCCTACCATGAACTATTCGACACAGACTCTATCAATCAACCGACAGCCACATCATCAAGGACGGTATGTCTTTTTCTATTGCTTGAAGGTAGATAAAGACCTCGAACTAACTATCTCAGCATCAATACGCTGCTGTCACACAGGCTGACCGGGACGAAAACTTAAACATCGCCAGCCATCACGATGTAGAGTCCCACCCTCAGGACTCCTCGAATCCTCTTTCGCAGCTAGACACTACAAAGCCACATTTCCACTGCGAGACGTGCGATCGCCAGCTCGAGCGCCGAGAGAGAAAGGAGAAAGAGCGGGAATGCTGCCAGATGGTCGCGGTGGTGTTTATCGTGGCTATTGTCTGTTTGACATTGCTGGGGATTGTGATTGCAAGAAGTGTGAGCTAAAGGGTTGATATAGACGACGAGCTGGGATCTTGAGTGAGATCTATGCCTCAGTGGAATAAGACGCGTAGAGTTTTAATTGATTGTTGTGTGGATGTCTTGTGTGTGTTGGTAGTCGATTGATTCTCCGCTCTATCGATGACGTCTACACTCGGACTAATGTCAGATATCAACCTCCAACAACCACCCTCAATTAACTCCCTAATCATTCTTCTCTCCATAAGCATCAAGAGGAAACTGTCTATTTTTGCATAAGAAACCATGTCCGAAAGTAAGCCATCTCCTGCAAGGCAAATAGTATGCCCCGCTGATGTTGAAGACACACATACCTCCCACCACAACGGATTTATGGATCGGATGCTCCATCACGGACATCATGACAATGAACATAAGCAGCATGAGCAGCAAACTGAGGTTCAGCCTCAGCAGGATGTCCAGACTCAGCAGCCGATCAAGAAGGGCGAGAGGGAAAAATTCGAGGACTACGTCGGCGAAGAGAGGAAGCTAATGCAGGAAGGAGACACGTACAGTGGACTCATGTAGGCTATTCTGAAGTAAGAAGTGAATAATAGCAAGTGAATTCCTTGAACACAGAGCGGTAGAGAAGAAACAGTTCCAGATATTAAAGATGCCGGTGATCGATCGTTGCAAGTGGCGGTATGCCTACCAGCTGGACAAGCTCGGCATTACGCCCGATTATTACCGAATCGGGTATATGAGATGGCCAAGAGCGCGGCTGAGGGACCAAGACTCCAGCTGCAGGCTGAGATAGGACGGAGGTATGACAGCTATGTTGATTTTCTTGATACATTGATGGTGACGGGCAACGTGTGTCTGAGATGATGTTGAGTGTTTGTAGAATACGTCTGGCTTTGATTCGAGGTATAAATATGGGCCGTGGCCGCAAGTGATTTTCCTTGAGCGACAGCCATTCAGTTACTACAGATATATCAATAGCAAAATGCGAGTACATTTCTTTTATCTTTCTTTTCTTACAGTATGCACCACCAGCGTGGCCAACCTCCTTGGTCCGGTGTATCCTGCCCCCAGAGACCTCAGTAGCAACTCAAGCCGAGTCGCAGCTGGATGGGAGAATCTTACAGCGACGCTACACCGCGAGACCTCCTCGGATTCATCATTACTGTCGAATCTCACCTTCTCTGTCGGTCTGTTTTCCATCCACGATCCAGAAGCAGAGACTTTGCAGTTTCACTACACCTCGTCCGAGATCCAGAATGCCCCAAATGGCACTAAGAAAGTCGACGGAGACAGTATCTATCGCGTAGCTAGTCTCTCGAAGCTTTTCACCGTTTTTGCTGCGATGCTTGAGCTCGACAGTGAGCAATGGGAACGTCCTCTGACGGAGATTATTCCATCCTTCGCCGAATACGTCAAGTCCAGATCCGACGTAGACTCAGTCTACTATACCCCGTGGGACCAAATCACCCCCAGCGCCCTTGCCGCGCAAATAAGCGGCGTTGCGCGCGATGTATTGCCATGGGACGGTGGGGATTTACTCCTGCAGTATGCAATCGCGATCCTTGCCGGCTTGAACCCTGTGCCTGCAGTCCTCGATCCAGCAACCTACGGACTCCCCCCGTTCGACCAGAACGATATCCCATTACTGTCACCGTGTCTGGCAAACGGGAGCGTGCCGTGCACTGGGTCTCTCTACGCCGCCGGGGCAGCCAACGACGCACCTGTGTATCTCCCTTGGACAAGCCCGGGGTACTCGAACAATGGGTTCATCCTGCTTGGTCTCGCTCTCGCCAATTTGACTGGGAAATCCCTCGACGAGATATATAAGCAGAGTATCTTCGATCCGCTAGACATGCATTCCTCCTACTCCGCCGTCCCGGGAGCGTCTGAGCTCTCCCGCTCCGTGATCGCAGGCGACTTCGCCTCGGGCTTTGGCTACGACGGCGGCATCTCCAAGTCGTCGGGGGGAATCTACTCGACCACCAACGACCTGGCAAAGTTTGGCACGGCGATCTTGAACTCTACACTCCTACCGCCGGTCGACACACGCAGGTGGATGAAACCCGTCTCGCACACGGCGGACCTGCAGTATTCTGTCGGTCGACCTTGGGAGATATACCGGTACACGCATGCCAAGTCGGGCGTGGTCACGGATCTGTACACCAAGCTAGGGGACGCAGGGAACTACGGCAGTTTCCTTGTCTTGGTTCCTGATTTCAACGCTGGGTTTAGCATCATCGGGGCCAGCGCGTTGGCGACGCGATCGGACGCGACGAACCTTCTTGCGGATCTCGTCACGGAGGCTATTCTCCCTGCGCTCATGGAGCAGGCTGCGTCTGAAGCGAGGAGGAATTTTGCGGGGGAGTACACGAGCGACCGGTTGAACTCCTCTCTGGCGCTGGCTGTTAGTTCTCCTGGTGAAAATCCCGGCTTGTCGGTTAGCTCGTGGGTCAGCAATGGGACGGATCTTATGCCGTTGGTGGGCACGTTGCTCGGGAATGAGAATTCGAGGCTCGTGCCGACGATTGTGTCGGAGGGTGCCAGGGAGGTGGCTTTTAGGGCGTATACAGTTACACAGCAGAAGTCCGGAGGATTATTTCAGAGGAATTTCGATGTGAATGACTGGCTGGTCGTCGGCAGCGGGGGATACGCATCTAAATCACTTGGACAATTTGTATTTGAGGTGGACGAGCAGGGGAAGGCGACGAAGGTGGAATTGCCAGCTTGGAATGTGACTCTTCATAGATAGCTCATTTGTCCGATTCATACTTCGTCAAACATACATGCGATTTCCAGTGACGCATTCCCATCATAAAAGCCATCAAGAAGCCCACTCATACGCCAACACCGGAATCGTAAACTCATCCGCCGTGCACGTCGCATTGAAGAACGCATCATGCACACACTCCAGCTCAAACTCCGTCGCCCCAGAGTACGTAATCTTACTCCCATTGTTGCACGTCAGCGCATGCCCATCCCCAAGCACGTACTCCATCCGTCCGGTGGAGGTCTCATAATTCGAGCTCCCGTAGAACGAGACAATGCGCCCGAGCCCCCGATCCGCGTACCCGCAGTTGCTCGCCCCGTTCCCGATATCGTGCACCCGGTACCCGATGTACTGGTCGTGGCACTGCAGGCCGTCTGTGAAGTCGATGTCGAGGGTCTCGAGGGGTCCGTAGCCCCACGGGTGGTAGTTGGGCATGCCGGTCCAGCAGAGGTGGACCCAGGAGCCGTTGCAGGTGGCCTGGTTGGGTTCGCACCATCCGCCTGAGCCGGCGCAGAGGCAGCCGTACGCGTCGATGTCCGCTTGGTTGTGCACGCAGTCGAGGCTGTGCGAGCCGTTGTACCACTCGAAGTTGCTTACGGTCCAGGTGGGGAGGGGGCAGCCATCGGGGGGAGTGATGGACTGGGTGAGGGCGGTGGAGGTGAGGGCCAGAAGGCCGGTGAGGAGGGTGACCATGGTCATTTTGATACTTGGAATAGTGTTGATGATTGACGGAGAGGGAGGGGGCGGCGTTTATATAGATTCGTGCAAGGACTGGAAGCGGGCCCATTGCACAATGTAACCTTGTTGACGGACGTCTGAATCAGCAATGACCTGATGGTCAACAAGAGAGCAGGGTTCGATGATCAAATCTGACTCGGTTCTTCATTGCTTCTGCAATTCTGGAGCCACCCGGAGCAATTCAATGACACAGATCCAATCAGCTATACACGTTTCAGACACTACTTAAGACATGTCTTGGACTGACTGCAGTAATTGGTCCAACACATGCAGATCTTCTTACCACTTCTTACTTAATCCTTAGGCCTCCCACCGTGCTCCATTAAAATCGGGGCAAACACACTTGAATCTCACAGGTGGAGCTTATGATGCTTATTTTAGCTCAGACCTGCAGTACTCCATTGACCAGTCACGCATCAATATCAATGAGGGAATATTGTTCTGTTAAAGTTTCATGTACTCCGTAGGCTGACAGGGTAGATGCCACTGTCTTGTTTGCAGGAACTATCAAATGTTTATGATATATTGAACAAGGACAAAGGGCTGAGGGAGGTAGCCTTCAGTGTAGATATAGTGTATCTATTAAAATGCATTACTGCCAGACTAAAAAGGTGTCCGGACGATGTACTCCTTTGTCTAGGGATACCATATCATAGTTATGGTGGTAGAATATTTTAACAGTATCAAGACCAGCCAACCTAAAGGGCTCATCGTCCAGCAGCTTGAAGCGGGCCCGTTTCAAGACGTACTTCCACGTTCCTGTCGTTGGCTTGTTCCAAACATACCCTGCGAGTATTCCGTCAGCGTCCCAAATGGCGTGTCTTTCTGCGACCCAGTCTCGGCGGGCAAAGAGGATATCAGACGTCGTCGGAGATCTGTTAATCGCGGCCCTCTCCTTGCCCTTCCACCTGAGCGAACTGAATGAACTCTTCGAGATGCCAAAATTTGGTTCTTGGTCGGCTGAGCTCCGAAAGACCATGTCCGAAGCCCGGGTGACCATTCGGGTCCCCATCGGGGACAGGACCCTCGCTTGCTCGAAGGTAAAAGTCGATAGTTCATTGGGCGGACAGGTTGCCCGCAAAGCAGAAGGAAACGTCGATGAAAGCCCGGAACTGAACAGCTTGTCGTGGTTGGGCGAAGTGTTGTTTGTGTCTCCGGCTGCCTTGGGAAGAGTTCGTTGCAATGCAATAGCTGGCTTTCCCCATGGAAAGGTGTCGACGTCCTCTTCAAAGTGTAGGTTGGCATTGCCAAGTTTTCGCAGCGGTGCGGTCCATGTAGTCGTGTCTTCGTCCACCATATTGTGCAACTTGTACCTCTCAAGAATATCCTCGTCCGGTTCAGGGAGGCCACGCAACTTGCGTGCCTTTCGGCTGCCCATTCTCGGAGAAGGGGTAAATTATCTGGATATTCAACTTGTTCAGCAGTTCCATTGTCGCTTTCGGAAATATTGCCTAAACTCTTAATATTAGCTTTCCGTCATAGCCCTGAGATAGAAGGATACTAACCATTTCAGTAATGATGAGGCCACCGGCCCCATTATGTCTCCAGACTTCCATACTACCTTGATATACCCTCTGGAGATTTTCGTCCATCTTAGGAGAATTGTTAGCTCTACAGAGGTGTTTCCTTGCATCTAGAGATCCTTGTCCGCCCGTAGACGTGGAAATGACTCTGACCAGCCTGACTTGATAATGATGGCGGAAAGTCATTAGTATCAGCCCTAAAGAAGAAGCCTGGTTCTTTAGAAGAGCTCTTCCAAATGCTGGTAAACCCATCAAAGGCTGAGATGTATTAGTAGTATAATGATCTGGCGGAAGTGAACATACTTGTTCCAACACCAGCACACAGTAGATGCTTCTCCTGATGATTTAGAATGCCGTCTAAAAGCCGGAAAGAAGAAATCATGACCGTCTGTGGCCATGCCCCAGACCTCGTTGTGCTGCTTGTGCTGCAACTTTTTCCGCCAATGGATTATCACTTGAGGGGTCAGCCAATGCCTTTCTCCTATGCGTCAGGGGGTTAGGCTAGACATACTGACATACTCATGTAGCCAAGGCACTGCGGTACGCCTTTTTTGGCATACTCGCGCCGCTTCGCCTCAACAGCAACCAGATTCATCCCCATCCCATTCCTGTCCCCCTCATACCACACCGCAAAGTCAACCTTTCCGTTCAGGTTGCGGACTATGTTGTCCGCCTTGATCAGGAGTAATAGGCGTGTTTCCTGGTCGAGAAACCGATGTCCCTGTTCTTGGGGTGCTCTGCTTCCCCCTCATCGTTCCCGTTGTAGCCAGATTGCTCGCAATTGCCTCTATGAGCATTACGCTCACGAGGGTCCGGGCGAAGGGCTCGACCTGGGGTCGGCCCGCCCCAGTCGCCATACTTCGAAATGGGATCGACTGCCAGAATGTGGAAATGGTTCGACATGCCCTGTTCTATATAACAAAACATTAGAGTCCATAATCAACATCAGCAACGATCATGATTACCGTTTCTTAGTCCGCAAGATGAATCAATATGAACAGAGAATGGCTCCATAGGCTGCGGCATTTCTTGAAAACACTTTTTAGGATTCGGTATGGAAGTGGCGGTCTCCCTCTGGTAATGTTGAATGCCTCATGCAATCTCGTATTGCTCGCGGGTTCCGTCGTGAGGAAAGGGTTGGACATGTGCTGTAGAGTATCTATGACAGAAAGTGTTAGTATCTATTACCAACACCAACTGTGGCAATGAAATGTACCGTCGCTTGATGGCCGAGTAGGCCCAATAGGCAAAGAGGGAGAGGATGCACGCCACTGCGAGGAAAAGAGATATGTAGCCAGTAAGCCTTGGCACATCCTTCAGGTCGTGGAGGCGTCCCCAGCAGAGACAGTAATATTCGCCATGGTGCTACACTTTTCAGCAATCTTCAGGTAAGCTAATGTGGGCATCAAACGTCAGTAGATTTGGAGGTGATTTCGAGTTGATCACGCCCTGGCTGTCTGAAGGCGTCCCCAGCGGAGACAGTGATATTCGCCATGTTTTCTGGATGATAGGAGATCAGTAAAATATGTATGTGATGAAGATATGTGAAGGCTGTCCGTAACTGCAAGCCAACAGACTTCCGCGAAGTAAAATCGCTACCAGTGGCACCTGCCTCAGTCGACTACTTCCAGCAATGGAAACCACGTCGAGTCTTCGGTGTGTAGAAGGCAGAAGTACCTTACTGGGAGAGGAGAGGAAAAAATGCTGACTCACAAATAGTTTTCATCAGCATTGGCATCAGGCTTACCCGGTGTGCGGGCAAAGGGCTCAATCTGGGGACGGCCCACCCCAGTGACCTTGTTCACCTTGTTCAGGGACCGCTCTATACAGAAGGTTAGTTACTTATAGCCATAACTATCGCATAGCAGGAGCTGAACTGTGACTTACTAATGCCCTCGGGCAGTATGACCTTGTATGCGGAGATATCTATGGCTTCGTCTTTCCCCAGGCTGAAGATCTCCCGGATTCGTGGCTCCGACAGGCTGCTGATGGCCATTGGCTTGCCAGCATCTGGGCCGGCCTCGATATCCTTAAGGATATTGTTTAGCTCTTTCTGTTTATCATTGGTGAAGAGGTCCTTGAAATTTCTATCCACCCATTTGCGAAGAGTTTCCACTGGCCTGTAGAGCCGCAGGCCTGGGGCCTTGAAAATCACTGGGGCGAGGTTATTCGCCGCTGTGAACGATGGCCTTGTCAGAGCAATTAGGCTCCATGACGTTGTCTAGTAAAAAGTAAAAGCATCTCAGTACACTGTTTTTGTGGTAAATGCAGGAAAGAATTGGTAAACTCACCGAATCAATCTCACTGGACACGATCAAACCTTCTGCATCACTGATGCCATGAGATGCAGTGTATTTTATATGTCATCTTCTGATTGACGTACTCTATGCTATCATCTGATATAAATGCATAGATATGTGGAGTTTAGGAACTGGGAGGAATGCTATCCTTTCCTAGGTCTTACATTTCAGAGATTGGAAATGTAAGAAGGAGAGTTGGTCCTAGGGGGAGGTCTACGCTTATGCCTAAAGAGATGCAGTAATAGTCTGTAATTCACTACCTAATAGACTATTCACTACCTACTGCAACTAGAAATATGAAGCTAGTGAATAAGAGTTTATATAAAAAGTGAATACTTTGGATATCATGATGTCAGAATCGCGTCTTTTATCTCAGATGCTGCTGGCTTTGACTCACCCCAAATGTCCACTGACTCTTCATCACTTCCACATATACAGCAGAGGTAGAAGGCTATTCGAAACATACGTTCGAAATTATGCCTTCTAATACCAAGATGAGTCGACTTCTCAAGCCACTGAAGAGTTCTCAGCCTAAGAAAGGGAGTGTTGGTTACTGGGAGATGAAACTTCAAGAAGCAGAGGCTCCGCAGGATTATGCACCATTCCTCCTGTCACACATAGACATATATGAGAAAGCGCGGCTGATTACAGAATCAGCCTTCAGAAAGGTCTGCCAGACCACCTATTCGGTCACCAAGAAGAGGTAGAAAGACTGGCAACAGTGCTGGGTCGAAGGGATAAAGATCTATCCGCGCGTCTTCTTCGCTTCTTTCAGTTCCACACACAGCCTCCGGATCCTTCTGTGTTGACTTGGTGCCAGAGTCTCCTTGAGATGGAGAGACGAGCCCGGCACATTGTTCAAGCACTGATCTGGTTGGAGAAACGGCTGGAATGGGGGCGCCATGCTCTCACTCAAACATCAGACCTAGAAGATCGCCAGAAGCTGGAGTCACAATTGAATGACACTGAAAATCACCACAAACATTTTAAGGTCATGTATGTGAAGTACCGGAGTGATATGAGTGACCACAGATGGCATATGCCTAGTGGTCTCTTCCACAGAGCATTCTACTCCTGGAGAACTACCCCCGACTGGTATCTGTGTACATCGCTGAAGGAAGAATGTGCAACCCGTGGAGGCTGCTGCTCTAGAACATGTGACTGCTGCTCGCGCAAGAGGGACACTGACAGAATTCCCAATATGACCCATTGCACTGAATTTTGCCCATGTTGTGCCGCTACGAAGGGGCTCTCACCTTCCGACCACATCCCAGATATTGACGTAAAGGTCGCAGATGATACAGTCAAATTCAATGTCATCTATGGGCAGGACCTGTACAGCCGTCGAGTATACCGCGCTTGTATCTGGGGAGTAGATATTATCGACTATATTGAGGATTGACGGTGGGAGAGAAGTGATCGCTCTTGAAGTCCTGCTGAATTGGTGTTTGATCTATACTTGCTAGGTGATTTAGAACAAAATAGTGTTTTTAAATACTATCTTTGACCTTTACTAGAATCAGCTCATTTAATTAGTATCCTCTTATGCTTTATGAATTCTTTCTAAGTTCTTCTCTAGACAGTTTTCTTCTTGTAGGTCAAGTAGGTACATACAATGCATCAGTAACTAGTACGCCTTAGGAAGGAGATCATCCCAGGCGACACTGCTATAAGCACAGCTGTGTTGAGGTAGCTGCCGGGGTTGCTGAGGAAGTGACTGGCGACCTGTATAGTCATCATACTGCACTTATACCATACTAGAGCAGAATCGTTGTCAAGACACCTTTTTAGCTGAGTGAAATATGGTTGATGCATTGAATGCACCGTCACTTAGTCGTTGGGATCGAGATCCTCCTTGCGCTAGTGATTCCACTAAGTTAGAAAAATCCATCGGGTTCTTCTCACAAAAATATCTATGTATTCTGCATTCCTCCAAGTACGAATATGCACGCCATCCTCCCACCCGAGATACTCCACGATATTCTTGGCCGCATCACCCCCAGCTGGAAATGGGGCTGGCGCTGGAAAGATAAGAGGGAACGGATGTTCGCCCGCGCAGACCTAAATTGGTTTTTGAACTTACGACTTGTCAATAGTACGTCCCCTAGCCCCTAATAAACAACACAAGATGGCGTGTTGACCATACAGAACAATTCGACAATGTCGTGATCGACCATTTCCTCGCAGCGATTAGAGCCGGGCTCGTCACTCACGACCTTCCCATGTGCCGTGGGCCGCCGACCGGCTCGACGATGGCAATGGGAGAACGATTACTATGGTCACTTCTGTGTCGTAGTCGTGGCCTTCACGAAGGAGGGACAAAGACTTTTTACCGTCTCATCAACACGATCAATGCGGGGGTGGATGGGGTCGTTGAGTTTTTCTCGCGGAGTAGCCATACGGACCCCGAGGAGCTCCGAACGAGCTATCTAAGGGGGATGATATCGATGTTTGTCGGGCTGACGGGGATTAGTTTGGTCGATCGTGTTCTGGCTCCGGCATGGGCTGGAAGAGGAAATATTGATCTAGATGGCCTCGACTCCGAAACAGAGGGGTGGAGCGGTGCTGCGTTGGTGTCGGCTGCATATTTGGGCAGAATCGATGATATGGAGGCGCTGCTTGCGTGGCGTTTACAGAATACTGCTGATCCGGATAAGTCGCTCTATCTGCCGCTTATGGCGGCCGCGTTCGGTGGACAGATGGACATCGTACGGTCTCTGATCGAAAGGGGTGTTAGCAGGAACACGCGGACCGTCGGAAATGGGGATACTGCGATGCATTTTGCTGCCTTGGGAGGGCATGCAGCCATTGTCGAGTATTTTCTGGAGGCTGGAGTGGAGGCTGATGTGGTGAATAATGCTGGGGATACGCCACTTCTTTGGGCTGCCGGGGGAGGACACGCGGATGTTGTGAGGGTGCTCTTGATGGCGGGAGAGGTGAACGTGAATTTTCGGGATCGTCTGAAGAGAGCGCCGCTGATCTGGGCCGCGGCAAGAGGGTATGACAATGTGGTAAAGGAGCTGTTACAGAGGGAGGAAATCGACGTGAACCTCGTCGACGGAAATGCAGACGTTGAGGTGACTCCGTTAGCCGTGGCTGCAGTGATGGGCAAGGAAGACGTCTTCCAGAGACTTTTTCATCATCCGAAAGTTGACAGGAAGGTACACACTGTCTTTAGACGCGCTCTGATCGGCGGAAAGGTCAGCATTGTGAGGACAATAATCGAGGCAATTCCCGACACTCTGGAAGACTACGAGCCCCGCCACTACGAGACAGCTTTGCTCCGTGCCGCCGAAGAAGGAAGTGAAGAAGTGGTTCGATACCTGCTTTCTCTCAACGCGATTCCCATCAATTATCAAGATCCTAATGGTATGACTGCTGTACATCGCGCCATCCAGTCGGGGGATCTTGGGAGGGTCAGAGCTCTCCTAGAGCATCCCGACATAGACGTCAACTTGACCACAATCGAATATTACGACTGTCAATCACCGCTCCACTGCGCAGCTGACCAACACCGCTTGGATCTGGAGATCGTGAAGGCGTTACTCGCCCGGCCTGATATCATTGTCAACGCTCGAGATGTGCTTGCCAGGACGCCCCTCGCTTTTGCGGCTTACAAAGGGCAAGCTGAGATGGTGAAGCTCCTTCTGCTGCGCGACGATGTGGATTTATTTCCGGCGGATGAGGATGGAAACACCCCGTTGCTTCTCGCTGCTGAAGCTGGAGAAAAAATGATTGTGAATATGCTATTAGGGGTAGCAGATACAGATGTCTGGCACAGAAATCACATGAACAGGACAGCACTGGCGTTGGCGGCGGAGTCGGGCCACATAGAGGTTGTGAGACGATTGCTCGATCCAAGTCTCGAGGTAACGCGAGATATCATACGCGATGCCTTGGAAAATACGAAAGAGGCTTTGGTTGTTATTCGGAAGAAATCGACTCCTTTTCTGATTACCGAAAGGAAGAGGCTTGCGAAGGTAAGGAGGATGGAAGAGGCGCACAAACTGCTTTTGGCTTTTCTGGATAAGATGGATTCATGATTCAGACAACACCTAGATGGATTGGTCAACGCAAATGCAGAGGCATCGAGCTCTCATAGACCGTAAGTGTTTTCTCCAGCGAGGTGCCACATTTTACAGGGGTGGCCTAGGATTCCATCGACCATACGTTTCCATTCTTTTTTTGGTCAAAGAGTGGATTCCCTCAGTCCACTGTGATGAGACTCTCCATGTTCTGGCTACATAGAATTGCGATCACGATGACTTCGCTCAGCATAGCAAACAACTCGACCGCTTGTCTTGTGTACTCGTTCGCCCCAAGGAATCCCTGGCGATAGAGGCCTCGGCATGCAGATGAGAGGGGACCAATCTACCCCGCATCACCTCAACATTGTTTGCTGTCATCGACTGAGTCACTCTCACTTCAACCATCCACCTCCGATTGCAACTCAATACGCAATGCCATACAATCTCAAGGGGAAGAATGTGCTCGTCACGGCAGGCTCAAGGTAACGTCTCATATGGCTCCTTTTCCTTCCGAAGCTAACGTCCGGTTCAGGGGTTTGGGCGCCGTGATATGCGGGAAGTTCGCAGCTGAGGGGTGCAATGTAGCCATTAACTACCACTCGAGCCGTGAGGTTGCGGAAGACCTTGCCGGTCGATTAGCTAAAGAGTACTCTATCAAGTGCATTGTTCTGCAAGGGGTCAGTTTATTTCCGAAGGGCACTGTAGAGGAGAACTGACAATATACAGGACTCTGAACTCCCAGAGGACAATCAGCGCATTGTTCAAGAGACGAATGAGCAATTATCCGGCTTGGACATCATTATTGCAAATGCTGGGTGGACTCGATTCGCTAATAGACGAGACATTTATGACCTGTCTTTCGAGGAATGGGACAAGGCAAGATACAGCCTGGCTGTCCTTGTCGAGATGCTAATGGTATGCAGTGCTGGAAAGTGAATGTTATGTCGCATTTACAACTCATGCAAGCGGCTAAGCCGATATTCGAGAAGAATGCGGACGGTGGTGTTTATATAATGACCTCGTCCATCGCGGTACGTTCTTCCTCTCGGTGTATAGGCCTTGTCTCATAGGCGATGATAAGGGTATCACTCCAGATGGAAGCAGCATGGGCTACTCGGTGACCAAAGCCGCTGCTCTGCACCTCATGAAGCATCTTGCGTTGTCCGTGGGATCAAAAATCCGTGTCAATGCCGTTTTACCCGGGCTGTTGTTGACCGATTGGGTAAGTTCCCTCCCTGTTACAGTTCACATATTGTTTCGGTATTAAGGAGATGATTAGGGTAAAAAGTACGGCGAGACGGCGATCGAGTGGCTCAATCAAAAGGCCATCTTAAAACAAGAGGTGATGCTCTTGTCCTCGGTATCTTCATCTACTTGCTGACTTTCTACTAGACCGACCTGGAGGATTGCGCGAATATGTTCGTGACTTTGGCAAAGAATACCTCCATGACTGGGCAGCAGATTGTCGTTGGTAGGTTCCTTCACTTACTGCTGTTCAAGTGTACTGATTGATACAGATTCGGGACTTGCCATGGGAACTCCTCCGATCAAATAGCGCCACGAAGTAAATGTTCGACATCCGGGACGACGTAGAATAAAACGAAAGTATTTATTATCAAAAAGAAAAACATAAACATAATACATTCGATACCATCCACTCAGCACTGATCAAAAGGATGTTTGGACCAATGTTTTGTGTGGTGTCTTGCCATGTTCGGTCATTCATCGTGATTTCCGTAGTTGATGTGTTGGCAAAATATATCGACGTTCCAGCTGTTCAAATAACTAACCGGTTAAGTTGACTCAGCAACGTACGACGATCTTTATGAAGTGCAGCGATTTTGAACGACGAAGGCAGTGATACTGAAAGAAAATAAACTAAGAGAGATGAAGTCGATGGTTAATGGGCAATTGTTGACTCGTGGAAAAAGATTTAAACTGAGCAAAAAGGAATGCATCATCCGTGAATCGAACACGGGCCTCGTCGATGGCAACGACGAATTCTACCACTAGACCAATGATGCTATTGCTTGGCATAGAGCTAGAACTCTAGAAATATATAGAGAAAGATTACCGAAAACTATGGACACACGCTATCCAGAATTCTTGACGGGCGACCCTGGGCTTCATAAGACCAACACTTGCCCCGTTCTTGTTACGATTATCTTATCCGGCTCAAGTGAGACACCAGATCTCGTATTGCTAGAATCTCTTACCGATAGAAACCGCAACAATATGGTCATCCTGGTCCATGACATCGAATAAGCGAGCAGATAAGCACCTTCCTGAATGCGTTAGTCGAGTCCTCCAAGCGGGCAAAATAGTTGAAATTATTCAATTATTCGGCGGGTCAGTGAACGGATGTAACCTTTTACTGTCCCAGACTCCCAATGACAACAGATCCTCGGCTTAGTCGGCTGTTCCTGGGGAAATCCCCTGGAAGAGCTTGGAATGATTGGCCGGGGTGGAGCAAAAATACTTGACCTGGCTTGACCCAAGATAAGCACTCCAGCCTCTCGAATAGGCAACAAAGTACCTGCCATCAATCTAAATCAAAGACAAGTACGTATCGCGCCACTCCTGCGGTCTTCCGGTGGACTTAATTAAACAACTCGGACTAATTCCTTCATGGTATCTGCAGAGAAAACCACGCAAAGCCATGCTGGACTCTGCATGCTGCGCGTGTCCCCGCTCTATCCCTAGCATCATGTCGAGCGCTGTCACACGAGAGGCTGGAATGATGATTTCGCTTTTTCCAGAAAACCGACAGGGAAATATAAATATCGATCGGCGGCCGATCCCATTTGATCCCCCTTGTCTTTTATCTCTCTATCCGACCCTCTGCATTCGGCTCAGTAGTCCTCCCCGCAATGCTCTCCTCGGCTCTCTACGCAGGGTTGCTCTGCTCCCTCGCAGCCCCAGCCCTTGGTGTGGTGCACGAGAAACTCTCAGCTGTTCCCAGTGGCTGGACGCTCGTTGAGGATGCATCGGAGAGCGACACAATCACCCTCTCAGTTGCCCTTGCTCGGCAGAACCTCGATCAGCTCGAGTCCAAGTTGACGACACTGGCGACCCCAGGGAACGCTGAGTACGGTCAATGGCTGGATCAGTCCGACATTGAGTCACTGTTCCCTACTGCAAGTGATGATGCTGTTATCCAATGGCTGAACGAGGCTGATATTACTCAAGTGTCTCGTCAGGGCAGCTTGGTAAACTTTGCCACCACAGTGGGAACGGCGAACAAGCTCTTTGACACCAAGTTCTCCTACTACCGCAATGGTGCTTCCCAGAAATTGCGTACCACGCAGTACTCCATTCCCGACAGCCTGACTGACTCGATCGATCTCATTGCCCCCACTGTCTTCTTTGGCAAGGAGCAAGACAGCACACTGCCGGCTCACGCAGTAAAGCTTCCAACCCTTCCCAGGAGGGTAGCCACCAACAGCTCTTGCGCGAACCTCATCACTCCCGATTGCCTGGTGGAGATGTACAACCTGGGCGACTACAAGCCTGATGCATCTTCAGGCAGTCGAATCGGCTTTGGTAGCTTCTTGAACGAGTCCGCCAACTATGCCGACTTGGCTGCTTATGAACAACTGTTCAACATCCCATCCCAGAACTTCTCTGTCGAACTGATCAATGGAGGTGTCAATGATCAGAATTGGGCCACTGCTTCCCTTGGAGAGGCCAATCTGGACGTGGAGTTGATCGTGGCCGTTAGCCACCCCCTGCCAGTCGTGGAGTTTATCACTGGCGGTTCACCGTAAGCAAGTCCCTCCAAGTGACGAAAATCATGCTGAAATGAATAGTCCGTTTGTTCCCAATGTCGATGAGCCAACCGCTGCGGACAACCAGAATGAGCCCTACCTCGAGTACTATGAGTACTTGCTCTCCAAACCCAACTCCGATCTTCCACAGGTGATTTCCAACTCGTATGGTGACGACGAACAGGTGAGCACCCTCATAATTGTGTTACATAGCTAGACACTGACCTATTAGACTGTTCCCGAGTACTACGCCAGAAGAGTGTGCAACCTCATCGGCTTGATGGGTCTTCGTGGTATCACTGTGCTCGAGTCCTCTGGTGACACCGGTAGGCACAGACCCTCTGGTAATCTTTTCTGGGCTAACATGTTCAGGAATCGGCTCGGCGTGCATGTCCAATGACGGCACCAACACTCCCCAGTTCACTCCCACCTTCCCTGGCACCTGCCCCTTCATCACCTCGGTTGGTGGTACCCAGTCCTATGCTCCTGAAGTTGCCTGGGATGGCAGCTCGGGTGGATTCAGCAACTACTTCAGCCGTCCCTGGTACCAGCAATCTGCGGTGAAGAACTACCTCAACCACCACATTACCAAGGATACCCAGGAATACTACTCTCAGTACACCAACTTCAAGGGCCGTGGATTCCCTGACGTTTCCGCCCATAGCTTGACTCCTTAGTACGTGTCCCTGCTTCCATTGACATGCGCGTTTTAACCGTGTGCAGCTACGAGGTCGTTTTAACCGGCAAACATTACAAGTCCGGTGGCACATCCGCTGCCTGCCCCGTCTTTGCCGGTATTGTCGGTTTGTTGAACGACGCCCGTCTGCGCGCCGGCAAGTCCACCCTTGGCTTCCTGAACCCATTGCTCTACAGCGAGCTGGCAGAAGGATTCACCGACATCACTGCCGGAGCCTCGGTCGGTTGTGATGGTATCAACCCACAGACCGGCAACCCAGTTCCCGGTGGTGGTATCATCCCCTACGCTCACTGGAACGCTACTGCTGGCTGGGATCCTGTCACTGGTCTCGGTGTTCCTGATTTCATGAAGTTGAAGGATTTGGTCTTGTCCTTGTAATTGTATGAGTGATTAGATGAGCAAATCGTAACATACTATATCCCCCTTCGTTCTTATTTAGCCAGTCATATCGTACACGATATTCATGGTACGCCAGGCCCACTAGGTGTGGTATTGTGGACATAGCCCAAGCGCCTCCTGTAGCTTGCGGTAGTTGTGCTCTCCGGAAAGATGAAGATTGCCGTGGCTGTGGGCATAAATAATACTTTACATGCACTGCTTTCTCTATTTTTGTTTTCATTTCTCCCTCACGGCAGTTTTACCGCCGATCATCCACTAATTACTCTAGAAATCTTCCCTCCTAGGCAGCCTTTTTGTAATCGCCAGGCTGATTTCGCGTTGGACAGTTGAAGCGGTCGGTTGTTGCAATGCTGTGGTTGGCTCAACTACTGGCTGAAAGGCTGGTGTGGATGACAACCGCCCAACTAGCAGCAGAGACTTGCATCAGAGCTACTTGGCCGTTGGCTGCGCCATGCCACGGAATCCTGTTATAAGCCGCCGCCCTCGTCAGGAGTCAGAAATGAAGTTTCTTCTCCCGCTGAAACGACTTCGATATTGACAGCCAGAAACATTAACGAGTTATGCCTGTTGATCGTCCGAATATGCACAGTCCTCAAGTTGACAAGCCATCGCCACCCCAGTGGGTACACGATTACGAAGACAAACCGCTTGCAGGGCCCCGGCACGCGTCGACAGAGGGCGGAAAAGAGAAAAAGCAATTAGGGAACTGGAAGAATTCGAATTCACACCCTGACCCAGATGGGACGACGTCTTTGATAGAAGCGGTCCTCCAATCCAGTGCTCATGAAACTAGAGCGGTACTGGAGAACGAGCGAGTGGAGGTGGACGAGAAGGGTCCAGAAGGCCGAACTGCCCTTTCGCTTGCCATTCAGAAACGCAAATACGAGGCCGTGGAATTGCTTCTAAAAAGAAGCCGACCCCAATGCTCGAGAAGATCAAAACCGCACCCCATTCTTTTGGGCAGCTTCGCGCAGCCAACTTCCCTTGGATTTCCGTTATAATAACATGATTGTATCTCTCCTGCGAGCCCGGGCAGATCCAAGTTTAACGGATGACCAAGGGAACACCCCACTGGCTGTGGCTGCTGCTACAGGAAACCTAGAATTCGTGAAGCAAATACTATCGATGGCCTCTGAAACTGAGATCGGCATCGACATTGACATCGGACTTGAGAACAAAGATGCAGACGGATATACAGCCTTGTCGCTGGCAGCAAAAAGCGGGCATTGCGACATAGTGAGGGAACTCGTCGAGTCAGGTGGTGCCAATATCAACACGTTGGGTAACGAGGAGACATCTCCCCTGATGTGTGCAGCAGCTGGAGGGTCGCCAGAGTGTTTGATGTACCTTTTATCACACGGTGCTGATATAGGTAGTTGTACTTGGTGGGAACGTTTCCTTCGGACCAGGTCACGGCAAAGAAACGAGCCGAAGCCACCTCAATGCCAGAAGCCCAACCTGAAAGTTCTCACATCTCGGCTGGGAACATGTTCCTTTTGGAACAAAGTACTTCCTGACAGGCGCACTTTTCTCTCGTGGGCTGTGGAATTTGGAGACGAAGAGATTGTGAAACTACTTCTGGACTTGGAAGCGGACCCCGACATTTGTGACACCACTGAACAACGGATGACCCCCTTGATAAAGGCATTGAAGATTGGCAACATGGCCATAATCGACCTGCTCTATAAGAAGGGCAATCTTTTAGTACATATTTTGGCGCAAGAAGCTGGCAGTCCCAGCATAGGCGAGCGGGAAGCTTTGGAGCTCGCACGCAAGCTGAGGAGAAAGTACGGTCTTGCAAAGAAAAATCCCAAAGGGCAAAACCCCGTTCACATCGCATGCCAGAATGGAAATAACTCACTTGCTGTGGAGTTTCTCCATCCGAGATATTGCGATAAATTCATTCATTGTCAGGATAATAGCGGCAAAACGCCCTTGCAGTATGCAATCGAGGCCAAAAACGAGGACCTTCCCAAGCTTCTGATCGAACACGGAGTCAGCCTCGATGATGTGCCAACCGCGGGTCTGTTCGAACTCAGGCAACCAAACCCCCACTGCGTCCAGTTGACTCGAACTACTAGCACTGATGTTGGGAGAATGCGCCTTCTTCTAGTCAGTGACTACGATGAAGCACGTGAGCCTTGGAACCCACAATCTGGAGAGGTCCAATTGCGGTAATTGCACCTCCTAACCTTTTGCGAAGTAAATTGCCCTTGTACTGACTCTGCCAGCCTCTTCAAACGAGGTTCGCGAATACCAGAGTTTCGCACCCCTGAGCTCAAAGAGGATCTTGCTTTAAATGGTGATTATTGTCGATTCTTTCAGCCAAAGTCTCCAAGTCAGTCCGGTGAAACCCAAATGTTCAAACTATCTATGTCTTTGCCCGATTTAAAGGGGCCTTTGGGCTCAAAGGACTTTTCGAAGAAAGTTCCATTGGAGATAGCCTGGGTAATCAGGGAATTGGGGAACAAACTTGCATATGGATACATGAGTACCCTTTCAACCTCCGTCGTACCTAGGCATCGTGTCGAACTTCTGAAAGGGTTGATCTCCGAAATTGACTGGGAATGGAAAAAGAGGGTATCGGATCTGGAGAATGAGATCAATGATATTGTAAGTGTCTCCTGGTCCCAATAGCCTAGGGCTGACACCAATCATGTCTCACTCGACGAAAAAGAGATTAAAACAAGTCGAACTACAAGGTAGAAGCTGGATCGTCCTCGAGAACTTGCAGAGAAAGGCACAACGGCAAGCTACGCTGCAAAGTTGGCTCAAAGGCCATATTGCTGGACTCACACATGTGGTAGATATCGATCCATATCCATATGTTCAAGAAGAGAAAACTGGGAATATTATGGGTATGAGACAGCCTAACCAAACGATATCGCTTGATGAAGAACTTCGGAAGATGAAAGAGAATACTGAAGCTCAGAAGCGCCCGCTTAAGGAAATGATCCAAAAGATGGATCAGGAATTGGGTTCGGGACTTGCTCGCATCGAGCAGATTATTCGCGAGTTACTACAGATTGTGAATACACCCCGACATCGACACTCAATACAACTGACCGGTGATGGATAGGAAATTGCATGGACCTCCATTCGCGAGGCAAAAAGCATCAAACGACTCACCTGGATTACTGTAAGTCAACTCAACCTCAACCCGGTCAAGCAAACTAATTCTCAAGTTCATATTCCTTCCCCTTATGTTCGCGTCGGTAAGTGTATCCATAAGCAAGGAATATATCTATGTCCTTTCCTAATTGCTGACACATCTATCAAGAGCCTTTTTGGAATGAATATAAACCTTTTGAAAGAAAATCCAGATTGGAGATAGTTTCTTCCAATTGCAACGTCGTTGATGCTTTTGACCTTCGGTTTATGGTTGCTCTTTGACTGGGTAGGTACCCACATTCATGCTGTGGATGATACGAATGATTGTGTCTAATCCAGGAGGCCCAGGTTGAGCCACATTTGGAGTTCTGGATGAAGAGATTGATAAATCCCAGGGAGACTCTCAATTACACAACCCCTGATGACGGCCAGAAGTACCTCAAATCCGGCGATGTTTGATATGAATATGGTATACGCCTCCTACTATTCTATCCTGTTCAGAAGGCCCAGAGTACTACCCCCCGTTCGTTACATATTTCTATATGTGATCAACATCCTGTTAACTAAGAATCATTATTCTGACCCTACATCTCTCTCTATTTTTCAAAACACTACATGATATTCACAGTTTGAGAGAACATAATCATATATACAAAATCTATGTCATCACTGCCATATCTGCTCAACTAATAGGCAATAAATCGTAAGTCTTTTCTTGATGGGCGAACTATGCCGAGGAACAGTGCCCCATGCTCATAGAAGTCTGTCTTCGGAGATTTTTGCATGCTCTCTCTCAAGAGTGTCTTAACCCAAGTTTTTCTCTCCTCTCGCAGCCCTTCTGTCCTTTACCACACCTAAAGGCTCGACTAATAGCACTCAACGGGAAGAATATCATTGAGACTCTGCGTTCAAACATGCATCCAACACGCACGGCCAGGCCTTCTAAAGTACGCTATTGCTCTGTGATTATTGAGGAAATCGACCAGGCGAGTGTTTTGTCCAGTGCGGGATACTTGAGTAGAAACTGACGTACACCCCGTTCGACGGGATCATGCCTAGCTTCCTAAATTGAATAATAAAGAATGCTATATCCAGCCCCTGGACAAGCTTTTTGGGATGTGAGAACCCTCTAAGGGCTCTGTACAGCTTTACCTCTGTTAGTTGAGGTAGACACTATGCAGTGTAGAAATGTTAACATGGTTTCCATTACTATGGAATGCACTTTGTAGAAAAGTCTGTTAGTTTTTAGGACAGTATTCATGATCTTAGTAACTAACAGAGCTATACCTTTACTACCTAGATATATAATTCCACAGCTCTTCAGTTATTCAGTGAACATGGACAATATTACTGCGTTAGTAGGGAACATATCCACTACGTTCACCTTTAATGACGGACCTAAAGGCATTGCATGCCTGTCAGCTCTCACCATAGTGGTATTTGCTCTCCTTATGTGGCTATATTGGGGTTACTCACCAATCCAAAGGAGATACAGTAATTCCATTGCTACAGTTGATGTTGGAACTTGGGAATAGGTACTAACCCTTTCTGTCATAGATATTCGATGTCCACATACTACCCTTTCCTCATGACGGAACACTGAATAATACAAGATATGGCACTCGACATTCAATATAACCCGAGAAACTGTACCACTGCCATGCCGAATAGTCAAGTGTGTTTAGTCCAAGGTGTGGAGGAACATTCAGATAATGATCTTGGGAGGAACAGCAACCAGAATCCCAATCAATGGGAAAGTGATGTCCCAATGTATTCCGGCCTGAGCTCGGATTGCTCGCTGGCGACACAACGCAGCTAATTCCCCCTTGGACCTCCTGCTAGCAGAGAACGGATTGAAAAGGTTCCAGATGGTGAGCTCCGCCCAATAGCTGCCCCTGGGTTTGTTCTTTGGCAAAACGGCAAGCCATTCTTCGTGGTCGATATGCGAAAGGTCAACACCAAGCTACTCATGAACCCCTATCCTCTTCCGCGTCAGGAGGATGTGTTGGAAGTTTTGGGAGGCAGCACAGTCTTCATATGAATGGATATGCATAAAGGAGTTTTCCAACGACCTATACTTGAACTAGACTGATGGAAACCCACCTTCGTGACTGCCCGTCGCGATTTGCAGACATTGAAAGTTTCTACCATGGGCTTAGCCACATCTCCCTCATTCTTCCAACAAAAGATAGAGAATATTCTTTGGCCCTATCTCTAGAAGACAGCCATAGTGTACATTGATCACATTATTGTTCTCTCCCGATTTCATTATACTGTATGGAAGTCTCGTACCCTTCTCGTTGATGTAGCCAACCCATCCTGCTTTCGGCGCCTGCTAAAGCACCGGTGAGTACAAGGGGAGGACTAAGGGACAATAGAGCATCTTCCCAACAGCCCAAGTAGGCGAGGGAAACAATGAACAGCTACGATTTTGTATGTTTGCCTCAGGCCTCAGGACAGTATACAAATCAGGTGACTTGCTAGCGCTTGAAGCATCACACATCCAACTTGAAAACAATCCCAAACACACATCCACGACCCTTCTCGACTCGAGATCTTTCCCCTATCTTATCCTTCTTTTGCGTTGTTACGTGTTTCTGTCCGACTTACTTGGTGACCGCTCATGCTCTCCAGGCCCAGCTACCCCGTCTGGCGAGGCTAGCCAGGGTGATCCTTTTCTGGTAGGCATCGATTTCAAAAACTCCCCTTGACTTCATATCTTGACGGCAAAGGGGATAGAAATCACTGCTGAACCTTGCATGCACCACGATCTGACAAATTTCTGATTGTACGACTTAGCTCCACTGTCTTGATACACTCTTTGTATTCGGATCTAACCTTCTCCTTCCACCTTTTAAACACCTCACATACTTTCTCTCTCAGATTTTCACCCTCTCCTTCTCACCAAAGCCTTATCTTAAGCCATAATGCACGAGTCCAACATCTTGGCCTTGACGTTCAATCACGTCGCACTGCCACCACAACTTCCAGGAAACCGAGATGGCGATGCAGAGACTGAGAAGGTAAACAGAGAGCTGGTTGAACGGCTCCTTCGCTCAGTGAACATACTCAGAAGTGTCTGTGACAAGTCATCAACCGAAGTCTGGGATACTATCGAAAAACTGTTGCGGACATGCATACTTCTTAATGGGAATGGCTTCGTCAATAGAGACGCGGCGCTGTGTGCGTTCAAGGATATTGCACCTGGTGACGCACTTATTCTCCACATTGCTCAGCAAAACGCTTGTCTATATCTACGGAGACCATGGTATGTCCTTCTTGATCTTACACGCACTTCTAACTTTGTCTAGTGATGACGAAGATGTAGTGGTTATCGAAGCCTTTGAGACGTCCCCAACAACAGAACAAACTTTGGCGGCAGACGGAGCATTGTCATGGGACTTCCCTGGCCAAGCAGTGTTATTGCCTCTCCATGACTTCGGTGATCCTGTCTTTCAGTCAAATTTTGCAGCCCTTCTCGAAAAGGCGAGCACTGAGCCTATACACGAGTTCGCGGCCAAGACACGTAAGGCAGGAGCCGAGGTCTCCGAGACTAGAGATTCAACGGATCCTGGATTCATAACGCAATTTCTGATGACATTCCTTGCTGCGAATGGCGAGCGAGCCTGTCCCCCACTTCTCAGAAAGCGCGTAAGAGACGATGTCTGCTGGAACAATGCGGAGTTACCTTGGCGGCGGAGCCCCTTCTGGCTTGTACTACGAGTTTGCATTGAGCGAATGCTAATCTTTCGCCTGGGCGAGGCACTGGGTCGCTTGCACTACAAAGTCCTCCTTTCTGCTCTGATGTCAAAGCTGCTGGAAGATGCCGTCGACCACCTCACTCCTGAGGATTGCCACTTCCTGAAGACTAAGCTTTGTCGGCGTTTAGCCAAGCTGGAGACAGAAAAGGAAACTTCTACCGGATCTGTCGCCGACTCTTATGCAAGGTTGTTGTCAGCGGTCGGTTCGATTTGCCAGAAGTCGATCACGGCCGCTACCACTGCCGTTGAGTTGGAGTGGAAATCGTTCAAGAGAAGACTTGAACGGAAAATACCGTCCCTCCCACTCTACGCACATCCGAAGGATATGGAGATAAGTCTTGGGAACAGTGCGGCATTCTTTCACTCGATACTGAGGCCTCCCCAGAAGTCTTCCTGGGAACCACTAAGCATTGATTCAAAGCAATTGACTCGCAACGTACAGAAAGCAACGACGAACGCCTTCCTTGACCTGGTTACAAATTATTCTGCTCTCGCCGACCGAGAACAAGCCATAGAGTCCGAGGCACGAGAAGCTCCCGCCACCAAGGTGGATTGTGAAGCTTTATGTATGAAGCTCGCCTCGACAATTGAAGATTACCTCAATACTGGCAGCAATGCATATCAGGATGACCCTGAGCAAATGGGGATTTTTATTCTGAACTTGTTCGAAACGTGGGTCCATATGGACAAGTGCGCCACGGCTGTGTATCCATTGCTCAAATCATATCATCCCTGGGTGAGGCCCGAGTTGTTGGATGTAATACTACTCTCGCGCCTTAGCGATATGGAGCGCCTACAGAAAATTCAGGTTTACATCAGTGTTCGCTGCAAGCAAGCCCGAGCTGACCGAAGAACAATCTTCGATGACACTTCGCCTAGATGCTTCGCAGACCGGTACTTTGACTCAGAGGATGGCGAACCAATGCACCAGCTTCAGCGAAAGATCAAGGCTGCGTCGCTGAAAGCTCGAGAGGACAAAGTCGCGGAACTGGAGCGGATCAACAATGAATTTCGTGACCTAACAGAGAAGAAAACAATGACCGCCTGCACACAGCGCGTGAATCCAGACGGAACCCACGATATTCGGGGCTGTAACCATTGTTACTATATTCGCAGGCGACGCCGCCTGAAAATTGACGTTCATGAGGACTTTCTTCCTCCAGATGACGACACGCCGCGGCAGAGGGCAGTTGTTTTTGAACTCAACTTGCCAAAGTGCTTTGAAGCGTACCGTGCCGCGACCTGGAATATCGTTGCAACTCTCAGCCGAGGTCCTAGCGACGGTCATGGTGACTTTGGGGAGCCAGAGATGTTTCTTGGTGAATACTCACAGTTGAGAAAGTATCATACAACCAGGAAGAGAGAAGGCCTTACTCTGGCGTCTTACTCAAAGTCCTATTTGAAAACACATTACAACTGGAAAGCGTTACCTGCTACGAGCCGGACCATTCTGCTACCCTCAGGCTTGAAGTTTGTCTATTACGACTTAAAACGCAAGATCTGGGCGAGAACGTTTACCAGAACAGATGTATCGTTCGCCCATCACTTCAGCATCAGTCTACCCCAGCAGCACCCATTTGCAGCTCTGTACTCGTCGGTACTATTTGCAGTTGATGGCCCAGGCCCGTCATCCTATGAGGCACTTGCTAGCGCTAATGATTGCCCTCCCTACCTCAGTTTGCATGAATACCAGGCCAGCCATCACATCATGGGAGGGAAAAACCGCCGCTGGCTTTCAATGCTCATCGAACTAGGATCTTCCAATGTTGATTTTAGCCTACGCGATACCGTGGCCCTGGTGCGCCTGCTTGCGCTCCAGGTTGGCCCCAGACTAGAGAATGATAGCCTACGAGCTGTGCATGTTGCGTTTCGAGATGTTCAATTCTGTAGGAGGCTCAACGAGCTTCTCCACCAGCACATTGATATAATCTCAGCAAACTGGCGGGAGGTGAATTACATGGAAACCATGCTTCTTTTGGCGCTCCAACTCTGGTCGTATTGCTGTTCAGCGGCTCGCTTCGAGGCCTATGAGCTCATCTGCCGCATCAGGAGGGTCACACTCTCTTGGATACACCTTCTTCGTGATCTCATGCGTAACTCCGAGGAGGCCGATACGGCAACTCAAGCGGCTCGTCATTGCTTCTTGTCCGCTCTTTTATGCCGCAGAACGTTCCTGCCCCAGGCCTATGAAAATTGTGCAATGACCGCACAAGATTTCAAGGTCTTCCTTGAAACGTCTCTCGCCATGCAGGAGGGCCTGGTCGTTGACCTTACAAAATTTAGTTCCCTTACCCGCAGCATGCTCGTCCGTGATATAAAAATGGGCGCTGCGATGCGGCCCAGGCTAGGGATTTGGATGAAGCAGCACCCTCGCGCTCTCAACGAGGCTCTGGACTCAACCTGGCCGGCGATAGGACGGTGCTACACTGATTGGAAATTTGCATTAATCTCGAATGATACCTGCTGGGTGACGGCGACGGTACGGGAATCTGATGGGAACGGCAACCCTCAAGTGGTCCATCTCCACCTGCTCCAGGGTCACCTGCTCTTGGATGGCCAGACGATCGGAAAGTTGCCGAATGATATCACTGATTCCGAACTTCTAAGGACTTTGTTCGGGAATCAGAGACTTTTCGCATTTCCTTCCCCCATGCCAGACATGCGCTATGTGCTTGCTCTTAACAAGGAGGGTCATCAGATACACCTCGGCTATCGAAGCAAGCAGTTGGTCGTGCGAGCAGTGAAGGCTGGTTCAATTCTGGAGCTTGTGCCACGTGGTGTCTTTGGCCCTGGCTCTGGCCACGATCTGGATTTACCGGCCATGTTGATTGAAGAATGCGTTCATTGGCTTGATATCAACTCCGGCATTCTCTACGTGAGGCGGCAGGCACGGATGTGGAACGACGATTTCTGGGTCCTCAATTTTCGAAGCCGAAGGGCCCAGCGAAAACGAACGTCCTTGGTAGATCAGCGCAGCAGTATCTTTCTTTCAATAGCTCACATCTTCCGCCACTTTGAGGAACCATGCAACATAATGGTCACCCAGCCATCAAATGGCCCTCTATGCGTCGACCTGAAACGCATGAACTTGACCTTTTACGTCAGCTCCAAGAATTTGTTACAATGTAAACAGCTGAGTGCTGAGGTGGACCCAAACCAAGACGTGGGAACCTTCTATGGGCTGCAGAGTATGCTTGCTCTACGCAATGTGTACAACCGTGCACAGCGAAGTATCATTGTTCCACTGGGACGGCTTGAATACGAACGGAAAGGCATGCACGTCGCAGTTCGAATTCGAAACGTGGGTCTGTATGCAAGATACATCGTTGACAACGTGCTGGGTAGATTACAGAGCCCCCAGGAGCTCCGGATCCTCTATACTAAAGCACGACTGCACGCATTCACATCGTCGTTCATACCGGATCCACTCACTGGTCAAACAGGGACCGAGGAGGCCCTTGCCTGCTTGCAGTCTGGACAATCCCAACCGTGGAACCCTTTATCTGAGCCTGAAATCGGAATTCTTCAATCAATCGCGGACCTGACCGCTCGACGCGAGTATTATCCTAAAGACAGGAAATGCCAGCAGATCGTGCATTGGAATTCACATTTGACTTCTTTCATTCAGCATGATGGGTACCGGCCCGTCGTGGATCGCATAATCCTCAAATCTAAGCGATTGACAAGTTTCGCTGTGGATTCACCCGAGTCCTCCTCCGCCGCCTCCACGAAGGCGCCAGAGCCATCAAACATACCGCACCTCTCTCAGCGTGCTTTCTGGCGCCGTTCACTTTACGAACGGTCCTGCTCATTTTATCAGGCCATTGAAACGCCCCCACCCAAAGATTTCCGCTACATTAGCCGTGACGGCTGGGTCTCGAACGGGCGAACAGGGAAAGTCCGAGAGATTGTCGATCTCATCAGGCTTCGACCTCCGTCCATTCATACAACACACTCACTGGAAAAGTTGCTACAAAGCTGGCCGTTGATTGGTGGTTATAGCACGTCATTCAACCTGAAAACACTCGACGATTATCTCTCTATTGAACTTCCACATCACTGGGGAGCTTTAGTTAAGTTATGCAAGGTGTCCCCCATCGAGGAGAAGTTTGACATCCTCTTCAAGCTGGGATTGGTCGCGTTTCGCACTGGCATCGATATGACAGCTTTGCGGGTGATAGGAGCATTCTTTGTCTTGGAGGATCTGAAAGCTCTGGAGTTGCCGGATTATCCCTCCTTCGCTAAATTTGAGGTTGGTGAAATACCGACTGCCAAAATGATAAGCGACTTGGCCACGCCATATCTCGAATCGTTCCAGGAGGCTCCTCCGCCACGAAAGCGGAACAGGAAACAGCAAGTGGCTACCAATCGTGCAAAGCCAACATTGGCGGAACATCAGAAGAGGTGTGACGATGCTCTGAGAACATTTACAGATTTCCTACTGGGCCAGTGGCCATGCTCAGCCCCATCAATGGATGATCTACAGGCCTACGTGAAAGATTTAAAT